CTAAAACTTTTTTGATGTAGGATTTTAGAGGAAATAAAATCTCTAATTTCTCTTCTTTTTACTGCATGCAAATAACAAGTATATATACAACTCGGACTAACCCTAATACAATTAGAGGGAAACACAAATCATCATGAAAAGAAGGAAAAAAAAAACATAATAATGGATAAGAACCGGAGAACAATTTTTCCCCTCAAATAAAGCAGCTGACCGATGGTTTCCAAAGCTGTGAGTAGGCCCATGCGGTCCTTAGATGCATACATATCAACACTCTCTCAAGTTGAATTTCATATATCCCAAACTTACTGTTGACATCACTGAAGTGGTATTGAGGAAGAGCCTTAAAAGAATGTCAACAATATGATCCTGAGTTGGGATATAGCTTAGTTGAATAATCCTTCGATTGACCTTCTCAAAGATGAATTATCTGTCAATTTCTAAATGTTTGGTTCAATCATGATGTGCTGAATTCTTTGAAATACTGAAGGTTAATTGACTCACTGAACATTTTATTAGTACTTTGGTTCTCCACATGAAGTTCCTTCAGTAGTTTTTGTAGCCACATCCCTTCACAGATTCCTAGGTGTAGGGCACGATACTCAGACTTTGCACTGCTTCTAGCCACCATAGTTTGTTTTTTACTTCTCGAAGTAACAAGGTCACCACATACAAATGAGTAGTAACCCGTGGTAGATCTTCAATCAGGAGAACCATGACATTGAGAACACTTGAACATTTCTATGCTCTCATATGTTTTGCATTTAACGGTGAATATCCATTGGTACCCTAGAGTTCTTTCCAGGTACTATTCTTTCAAGAGAAAGAATCTCATCTTCAACAGTCTGTTTCCAAGAAGGAATTGATAAAGCCTCCATAATATAATTTAGGACTTTCACATTATCCAAGTTTTAAACAAAAAATTTGTAGAAAGATAATTTTTCATGTCACAAATTCTTCTATAAAGTGTTTTATGCATTCTTGTGCCCCTTCTTCCTCTTGGTATTCATGATGTGTTAACCTCACCTCTGTCTGAATATTTGGGGTGTGGAGTTGGTTCCGGTAATTTGCATTCCTAATTTTGCATATTATTCCTTATATGTTCACTATATTTTTTTTCCCAGTGTGCACACGGAGTTCTTGGCCCTTAGTGGGGGTTATGGGAGGATTGAGTGGCATAGTAGGTTCATTATCAGGTTGATTTGTGATAGGGGGACAAGAGTGAGTTCATTAGGGATATAAGGGAGGTGAGCTTGAGGTTCCTGAATGGTACCCTAAATCTGAGATTCTCTCCAACTCTCCCTTTGAATATTAGATTTGACATAATATTATTGATTTTCCAAGAAGGAGACATCCATAGAGTTGTATAGTTAGTGTTTCTGAAAAGTAGCCCACAAAAATGCATTTGATTGACCTGGGATCAAATTTGATTTGATATAGTAGATATAAATGAACAAAAATGATGCAAACAAAAATTTTTAGTGACAGTTTGGAAGTAAAGAACTGAATGTGACGGTGGAATTTTATGAGGGCATTGAGAGATTTATTAAGGTTTAACATTTTGTTGGGCATCTTATTTACGAGATAAGTGGAAGTGAAGTGCAACTTTGAGGAGATGCTTGTTTTTTCTCTCAGCCACACTATTTTGTTAGAATGTATCAACAAAAAAGTTTATATGAATGATGTCATTTTTAGATATCTAAGAGTCGAGAGTGGAGTTGTAGAAGTTTTATACATTATCGGTTTTGCGAATCTAAATTTTGCTTTGGAATTGGGTGGGGATCATGTTGAAAGGTTTCAAATATACTAACAATTTCAGATTTTTCTTTCAATAGAAAAATACAAGTGGTTCTAGTGTAGTCATCAATAAAAGAGATAAACCACCTAGATCCATTTGTATTTTTTATTTTTGAGGGCCCCCAGATATCACTACGAACCATGAAAAAGAGATGTATTGGTTTGTATTTCAGGCTCGGGTACACTTGTCGAGTATGTTTAACAAGTTGGTAAGTTTTACACTGAAAAAAACTAATTTTTTTTGTTGATAAACAAGTGGAGATATAATTTTTTAATATAATAGAAAATAGGATGCCCAAAGCAAAAATGTCATAATATAAATTGCCTCTTATGAGAAACAAATAGATACAAGAGTTGACTCAAAGTCAATGATACATGTCAACACAGCTAATCATCTTCGTCGAGTCCATCACCTGAAATTCACACAAATTAGAGTACAATTTAGTAACAATTCATGTCATGAGTAAGTTTACTGGTTGACTGTAAACTGCAAATAAGCTTAGGAGCATAAAGCACAAATTAAAGAAAAAGGTCCTCGTGAGTTTCATACTTCTTCCTTCCACAGATGAAAGGAAGCATCTGTGATACTAACTACAGCATGGTTAGTGAAAAAATGAAAGGATTGGAAAGTCGTGATATCACCTATCATGTGGTCCAATGCTCCAAAAGTCCACTATCCAAGGTGATTCTTCCTGTTGAGAGAAACACTAGTAAATATAAGACTACCTTGTGCTAAAAGGCTGATAGAAGGTTGGTCAAAATATTGTCCCAAATTTTTTTGAAGAGCTTATAGTTGCTACTTACTGATTGGACTATGTTCAGGAAACTTGTCTTCCTTAATTTTGTGTTTAGATTTTCCAATCATCTTCGAGTTGGGCTTCCAATAAATTTTCCAATACTTCTCCTTTAGATCGACCAAGTTTGTCGCAGTGTTCACACCATGGTCTATTCTTCTTTGATTTTTTGTCCCGAGACGATTTGAGAGTGTATAAAGCCAAGTTGTCAATATTTGATCTAGTGGGATTACCTACCATAATGAGTTTCTTCCTGCTCTCTTCTATCTGTACATCAACAGAGGCTTCACCAATTATAGGAAGATGTTTTATTCTCATGCTTTTTTCTCTGACTTCATCTAGTTCCTTGTTGAGTCCTAAAAGGAACTTAATGGTTCTCTTCTGTTCAATGACGATTTTGTAAAGAAAAATGTCTTGTGAGCACCTTCATGTGTGTGTTTTACACATGTATAGTTGAAGCCAATATTTGAAGGAAGTGTTGAAATATTGAGTAACATTCAACTCATTCTGCTGCAGGTCATGTAATCTTATTTCAATTTAAAACAACTCAAAGGTATTGCAACACTTGAATAAGTTTCTCTTACGGCATCCCAGATTTAATTTATTGTTTTGTACAGAAGGAAGTTTTCTCCAATTTCTGTGATCATGGAGTTGACAAGTTATGGCATGACCATTTGATCTTCAATCTTCCATGCTAATGTTTGGGATCAATAATTTTTGGTATAGAATTTTTCTTGGTGAGATGATCATCTTTTCTTTTACCACAAGTGTATATGAATATCGATTGAGACCATTGGAGAAAATTGTTGCCACATAGTTTATGCTTGGTGATGCAGGAAAGGATTTCAGCTGATGTAGAACCAAACATCCTAGGTTCAGATTCAGAAAACTGTTCTGGAGGTAGATTTCATGTCATATTTGTTCGTCACGATAAGGTGTAACGAAGAGCTTTTGAAGTGGAAATAGATCTCATGGCGCAAATGAGTTAATCATGAATTCCATTTTAGAGAGAGTGTAGTCTCAAACCTATAGAACTAGGATTTTCATCTAGATTACGAAAGGCTAGGTAGAATTTCCAGCAGTAGAGACACGTTTGGACAAAGATGGTTGCAGGAAAAAAATCATACGGCCTGAATGACGGTCAAAAGACGTCTGCAAGAGAGGGCATCCCGCAGACAAGGGAAGGAAAGCTAGGGTTTGATTCCTATCTCTGATACCATGTAGAATTTTGGAGGAAAGAAGTAGATTTCATGGCGCAAACGTGTTAATCTTGAATTCCATTTTAGAGAGAAAGTGTAGTCTCAAACCTACAGAACTAGGATTTTCATCTGGATTTTGTGAGTGGATTACGAAAGGCTAGTTAGAATTTCCAGCAGTAGAGACACGTCTGGACAAAGATGGTTGCAGACAAAAAATCAGACGGCCTGAATGACGACCAAGAGATGTCTGCAAGAGAGGGAATCCTGCGGAGGGCCTGTAGGGATTGGCGACAACTACAGGGAGAGGTTTCGACAGGGGAAGGAAAGCTAGGGTTTGATTCCTATCTCTGATATCATGTAGAATTTTGGAGGAAATAAGCTCTCTAATTTCTCTTCTTTTCAATACAAGTAAATAACAAGTAATATACAACTAAAACTAACCCTAATTCAGTTAAAGGGAAATTCAAATCTTCATGAAAAGAAGGAAAAAAATAAAGCATAATAATGGATAATTAAAGGAGAATAATTTATCTCCCTTAAATGTAGCAGCTAACCCTCGATTTCCTAAACCACGAGTGGGCCCATGTAGTCCTTTGATGCATGCATTTCAGCAGAAAGCTTCTATACTGTTAAAAAGCTTCCCTACTGTTAAATCCAACACCCTTATGACAAAAACTTCTACTTGAACAAAGTCAAGAAAAGCCTACATCAAGGATAACCTAATAAAGTGGGTTTGGAAGACTCCAAGAATAATCAGAGATGATGAGAAAGCCCGAAGCAACTTGTGCTAACCTATAATATTGAAGATTATTTTCCTTCCATATCAAACTTTAGTGCCTAAACTAGTTGTCCAAGCAATAGGAAAAATAATGTTGTTGATGGCTCTCTTACCACAATAGTTGGATTATGAAACAACTGAATTAGATCACTAATTATTCTAAAGAATATTCTTCTAGTTCCTAAACTTTCTGCTAACCTTGTGACCATTTAAAAACAAACTCATAATATGAACATGCCACCAAAGAAAACAATGAATACCATAAAAATATGAGGAAATCATGAAATTTTGAATTACTTTCTCAAGTATCCTATAGTATTAAAGATGCACGAGCTTCATGTTACAAGCAAGAGCTATGACAAAACAAATAGAAGAGTAGACACGAGTGGAAAAAAAATTCATCAAATAAAATACTAATAAGATCTGTCAGCTAACCTCAATGTATTTGCAAATTGCACCAATATCACATCCATTGGGTTCTTGTAACACTGTAAGAGCTTCCATTATTATCGCATTGTACCTAGTTTTCACAAATAAAATAAAAAGTCACAACAACAACATCATCATCATTTGTAATAAGTGAAATTTTAATAATAAGAATAAATAATACTAAAAAAAATCAATAATCAAATAGACATAAAGGATAAGCATCTTTTTAGTTACGACTTAAGAGCCGTGTACCCCTTCACACCAACGAAACCGGGTAGCTACCTTTTTTATTTGTATTAGATTAATGATTTATTTAGAAGTTATATTTCAAATTGATAAAAATGAACTTAGAATGTCGTTTTAAAAATAAATATTTCATTTATGTTTTGTATTTTGAATGTTTGAGGGATCTCACAACTGGGAGGAAATAATTGACATATGAAAATACATTTAAATAATTTTAAATTGATATGAAAAGATAAGGCTCGAGTAAATCAGGATTTACTCCTAAATGGTACTGGCAGAAGATGTGATGTACCCATGCACGAAAAAAAAAATGAAAATGGTAAAGGTATACTTTCGAGTGCAAAAATTTTAAGAGTACTTATGGGTAGAATTTTTTTGAAAATACCTTCGATTATAACGATAATCCTAATACAACTTCTTAAAAGAAAGACAATTATCAAAAGGATAAATATCTAAACTGAAACGGGAATGATTAAATTAAGAATGAAAGTTGACATTTTGATTAATAAATGAATTGCACTTCTTTTATCCATCAGCACGTTACATTTGCAGATTAATTTAATGCATAATATAATTGAAATTACTCATTAAGTCATGTAAACTTACTGTTTAAATTAATTATTTCTTTCAGGTAAAACACTAAGTTAATATGACTAACATGAGGGATTTAGTTTACAGAAGAAAGAATATTACTGATAGATACTATGTTGTGTGTTGCTATAACTACTGTACTGTTTACTTCTGAGTAGTGATACTATTGTGTCTGTTTAAGATATTTTAGTTGCAGTCTATCATGTTAATTTTGGATGATATGATTTCTTTGTTATGTATTTTTACTGACACTTTCTAATTAAAAGTTATGAAAATCTGTGAAAAGTAAATGAAATATTAATACCGTCCGATCGTAATTTCTGACTTAGTTAACGCTAAGCTATCAATTCGAGTTGTAACAAACGTGTTGAAATTTTATTCTCCTGCACAAGTCTTTTCCCCATCCTTCTTATATTGTGTGTTCGCTCCTCTGCTCTGCAATTCAATTCGGCTAGGGATGATAGGAACCCTTACCACCTTAGACAATTATTTAATTTATATTGCTAACCGCTGTGTCGATGGGATGATGTCGGTCAAGAGATGTGTTAGGTATGTTCAGCGATACTCCTGAGACAGATGTAAAAAATTAATAATATAAAGTAAAATTAAAGTTATAAATTAAACCATGAAAAGTAAAATAAAAGTTACTGCATAAAAAAATTTAGATTTTTTTTAGTAAATGCATGGACATCAATATTAGATTATTATAAGATTTATATATTGAATTATAAAAGACCAACATGTATTTTTCTCTCTCGAGTTACTGTAGTTTAGAAGTATGATTACCCTACTGGATTATCTAGGATAACTCATTACATTATTTTAAAATATTTTCAAGTTTAAGTTTTTTAGTAGAAGATGAGTTCTGGAGAAAATAATATTTACAGCAAACAGAGTCATCATTTAGAAAGATAAATTTCTATTTGGTTAATTAAATTGCTTCTTTTAGTGGTTTTTTCAATTAATATGTAGATATTAAATTATTAGTGATAGAAATATAATAATTAAAAACTTAATTTTACCGTCCGATCGTCTGTTCTGACCTTAGTTAATTCAAAACCCTAGGCCAAATCGTGACATATGTTTATTCTAATTATTAAAAATCAATATCATGAATCATTCACCAACCATTTCTCCGGAGTGTCACACATAATATTAGCTTCAATTTCTACATGTTTTCTTTCATATTATCTACCTAAGTCATCTTACTTACCCCCTTTTCCCTTCTCATATCTATAATCAAAATAGTATGTATCTACCAAATCCCAAACATACAAAAGATTGTAAAAAGGTAAACTAAAAATTAAGTAAAAATACTTTTTACGAAAGTAAATATTGAGAAATGATTGATCAAAACTTCATGACTTCAAATGAACTTGACAGTATTTGCATAGGTTTCTTAGAACCAACATGGATTAGCAAGTAAGATGTACCAACAAGAAAACCAGAAATTAAAAAAATAAAATTATTAAATTATATATGATTTACTCTGCTTCCTTGCACCCAACAAGGACTAGAAAAATAAAGGCTTTAAAAACAAATATCAGCATACAGATATAGAAATCAATATAATAAACAATCAAATTATATGCCTTCATGTAATAAAGTGTTACATTATGAAAACATGGGCATAATTGGTTGAGATCAATGTGAACCACTTAGAACCCAGCAAAATATTAAAAATTATGTAAATATCCGGAAAAATTTGCTCCGAGAAGCCTTTATTCATGTCATTTCACTCATTTCCCTTCAAGTACAGCCTTTCAACCCCTACCCAATCATAAGTTCTCATCCATAACCCCTCCTTAACTCCTCAAAGACGCATAAAACCAAACCCAAAGTTCTGAAGGACCTGCAAAAGATGATATTTTTCATAATGCAGGTATCCTTAAAAATTATATCATTCATAATATAGGTATCCTACAAGAATATCAAGTTCAGCATAAATGGAGATACTAGCAAACTAAATTCTATGTGAAGAATCATAGTGTTTGCCAATTACAAATATCATTGTTTTAATCAGCGAAACCTGAGGCAAGTTCGAAGTATAAAAAGGTTGAATACATAATATGCAATTTTAATTAGTGGGATCAATAAAATTAGTTATTATAGCCAAAAATAGTCAAGGAGTGATGAGTTTAAGTAACTTGGATCTAAAATAAAAATGGGGTTGTACAAGGATAAGGATATATTTCTAAAGTTGATACTGTGTCATTTTGGGCAAACTTTGTTATTTGTAGATGCATTATGGAGACTTAATATAAAACTTTAAAGTTAAAATTAGAACTATGCTATATCTTAGATACAACTGTTGGGTGATAAAAAATCAATAAAAGGCATGTTCAAGTTTGACAGAAATGAGAATTGTAATATGGATTTGAGGCATAAAATATAATGATGTATCAAGATACTACGAAGAAGAAGAATCAAAAAAGTACCATCCGTTGAATATGAAAGTGAAAGTAATGGATTTAAGTGGCTTGCGCATACATGATAAAAGGTAAATAGTAAATCAGTAAACTAAAATACAATAGAATGAGTCACTTTTAGTATTCCTATAGAGTATACTTTAATCTAAGTATAAGGGTTTACAGAAGTGCATGAAATTAGAGAGTGACATTTGGTACAATGCATGCATTAGCTGAAGGGAAGGAGAGAAGGTGAGCATGAATGAGTATGAAAACTGGAAACTTATATATATATAAAGGAATCCTTTGTATCAAGCTTGGCTAGAGATATTATGAAGTTCTAAAGAAGTTAACATTCAGTTTTTGTTCTTTCTTATTTACTATTATATGCCAAGTTTAGATCTCTCCTTTATGGACGATAAGGATGAACAAGTAAATGAAACAAAAGATGAAATGCGGGACAATGGAGGATAAAAACTAAATAATAAAACATATAACAAAACCCAATAATTTTGCTCCGCTTTCAAGAAATTGGCCACTAAATATTATCATAACAAAGAACAAGTTGAGAAAAAGGCTAACCTTGTTGAAAAGAAAATATATAATTTTTTTTGTTACTAGCCTATAGAGGTGGAGACGGAAAACACGAAACTGGAATTCGACATCAGTGCAAGTAATCATGTATGCAGCTACAGAAATATGTTGGTGAAGCTAAATGAGATGAAGAACAAAATTGTAGCGGTATTCAATAGCTTTTCGTGAAAACAAAAGGTAAAATTCTTAAAATTATTAAAAAGGGCGAAACCAATTTTTTAAAAGCTTATAATTTATCAAGCATAAAAAGTAATATATTAAGCTTGGAGCGACTGTTTGAAAAAAAAAAAAATTTGAATTAACATAACAGATAAGGTGCTATCTAAAAAAAATTAACTCACCAAATAAATGTTAACAAAAAAAGATTTTAACATAAAAATATGTAGTCATGTTAAGTGTAAGAAAGCTTAAGTAAGAGATACCTCATGATTATGGAATTTGACGTTTGAACATCTTAAATTCTAAGATCTCAATATCATGTCAAGTACAAAATTAGTGCACGGATTAATAAGCATAAATCATCTAAATTAAATTTATGAAGCTTTAATAGCACACCATTGAAAAACAACCAACAAAAGGTTTTCCTAATAAAGAAATGTTAGTAAAAAGTCCTTTAAATCACAGAAATGTTTATGGACTGGTTATCCTAGCATCTTTTCATAAGAATCACCATTTTCTCACTTGTATTTCATTATACAAGGAAGAAATGGGTGAATATTTTAAAGGGAAAATCAAAAGTCTTTAGCATGTGAAGCAACATACAACAATTAACATGGTTACTCAAGTAAAAATAAATAGATCAAATCATTAAGGAGACTTTACATACAAACCATTTGAAAAAAAGCACAACATTTGGCGTCAATTAATAGGACCCATTTCTCCAAAATAAAACAGCATAAGGGCATCGAAAATATCGCCTTATTATAAGCATGGTATGAAGCATGACCAAAAGCAAAAGAAGCCATATAAATTATGGTTAAGGCAATGGCTTGCATTGTATGTATTCTCACAATTACAGCAACAAAAGGAGTGTGGACAGCCAAAAAGCTGAATATCTATTACTTGAAGGGCATTGGAACTATCACATATGCGTGTGTTTCTACATAAAAGAGATCAAAGGTAAATGGCAAAATCTCAAATCTTATCTTCATATTAGAGCCTATAAATTACTTAATCTTAACAATTTAAGTTGTTAAAAGTACATAAATGCAATTTAAAAAAGGAACTTGGGGTTGGCACAAGAAAGTAGACA